CGTCCAGGCTGGCATAGCCCTCGAACTGCAGGGTGGTGTTGGGGAAGGAGGCCTGGCAGCCCAGCCGGTGGCCGTTGGCCTCCCTAGTGGGCACGAAGTGTAGCAGTGACACCTGCACCCAGGTGCCCTCGTCCTCGCGCAGCCGACCCAGCACCGCGGGCTCCCCCAGCCCTTCGTGGCCCAGCCAGCTGAGCTCCGGGCGCAGCTCTGGGCAGTTGTCAGGCACCATGCAGCTCACCTCCACTTCCGAGCCTACCACCACCTCCGGGGGGACCACGATGTTGGGGGTGTCTAGATGAGAGGGGGGAACAGGAGGGTTGAGGAAGCATTCTTGGCTCCTGGTCCCCTCCCCATCCTTGCATACAGAATTCCCTACAATCTTCTCTCCTCCTGGTTATCCTTCACCCAGAGGCCCTCCACCATCCGACCTCAGATGGGTAATAATGAAAATAACAATATAATGGGCTGAGTACTTTACAGTGTTTCCCTTGCCAGTCCTTCCAGCCATGCCAGAAGGTGGGTAATGTTATTTTGCTCATGTTTTAGATGATGAAACTGAGGCCACAGCTAGTGTGGAGTAAAACTGAGCTTCAAACTCTGTCACTCTGGTTTCATCATCTGTGCTCTGGATACTGCGCTGTAACCCTGAAGAAACTTCTTTCCCCTGTCTGCTTTGGTTTATTTTCCACTTGTGTGTGTGTGTGTGTGTGTGTGTGTGTGTGTTATGTCCTGGAGATACATGTCTAGCTGTACCATTGGGGTCTCTTTCTGCATCGGGGCTGTAACCTGGCTCATTTGGACTCTGTGCTGATGGGGAACCCGAATCTAGGGACTCCGTGCTATAGGGCCTCTCAGGAATTAGGCGGCATGCCCCACTCTGCCAAATCTGGCCCAGAACTGCATGTTATTTGGCCTAAACTTAGGATTTGTTTTTAAAAATCTGAATCAGCAGCCAATGTTTAGGAATTAGGAGATTACACAGAAAAACACACAGTTCTGGTTTCTCTTAAAAATTCAGACTGTCTGAGAGCAGTATCTCCACATTCTCCCCCAGCACTGGTTACCCAGAACCAGGCATTGCTCTGCACACTCCACAAGGATTCACTCATTGAACTGTAAGTGCTATTCTTATTCCCATCTTACAGAAGAGGAAAACAAGGCCCAGAGACATTAAGTAACATGCCCACAGGCACCCAGCTAACTCAGGGATCCTGAGGCCTTACCCCTAACCCCTGGGCCCCACTGCTTTCCTTCCAGTTATTTCTAGAAGAGGAAGAGCCCTCATTTTTCCTCTTGTTTGGGGCCCTGCTTTGCCTATTTCTGTCATCTACCTGGTCCGTGAGGGCATGGGAGTTTGCACCCCCCAGTCAGACTGAGAAATCCCTGGCCCGGCCATCCCAGACCTCCCTGGAAAGGCTCTGGGGAGGACTTGGCGCCCCCCCCCAAACCCCCCGCCCACTGCATGCGCACACCCTCTGGGGACTCACTGATGATATCCAGGACACTGTGCTCTGAGAAGGTGTACTGGTTGTAGCCCCCTAGGTCCCCGCGGAAGTAGTACTTGCCGCCCAGCTCGGGGCTGAGGCTGCTGAGCAGGAGGGTGCAGTTACGCAGGCCCAGGTCCCCCAGGAGGCGGCTGCGGCCCTGAAAGCTCTCATGCACGACTTGGGTTCGAGACTTGAAGACCACCGGGGGATAGTTTTTCGGGTAGGGGCTGTTGAAGTACCAGACGCCATGCACCACGGCTGGCCGCAGCTCATCAGGGAAGTCGAAGCGGCAGGGGATGGAGACGCACGTGCCCTCGAAGGCAGAGATGGAGGAGGGCATCCAGGCACCCCAGTGACCCCCTCGAGAGGCTGTGGGCAAGCAGGACCACTGAGGGGGAGGGACATGTCCTTCCCCGATCACCACGCCCCCCCCCCACACTCCCATCACCTTCCACCATGCCCCTGGGGGCTGCAGGGACCCACAGAAACAGCCCCAGTCCACTCAGGGGCCAAGGCCCCAGGATCCCCCGCACCCCTAGCCCTTACCTGAAATCATAATCCAAAACAGCGGCAGTGTCGTGAGGAAGATCATTTTGTCCAGCAAGTGAGCGACAGCTGGAGAGGGGAGAGGAGAGCACTAAAGGCGGGGGGAAGAGGTGAAGGGTGCCTCTGGTAAGGCTTCAGGAGGGGGCCTGTTCAGAGGTTGGCTGCTGCCAGTATCATTATTTGGAATTACAAACATTTCTAATGCATTGACCATGCATCAGGCCCCAGTGCTTGACTCCGCTGTATTAATTCATTTGGTCTCTTTGAGGTAGGGGCAGTTAGAACCCGCATGTTATAGCTGCGGTCCAGAGAGATTAAGTAATTTGCCCAAGGGCACACAGCTGGTGGCCATTTGCCTAGCTCCGCGTCTGCAGACTTAACCACCAGACTGCCCTGTCTCTACGTTGTAGTGACATGCTGATAATTATCTTCATCGCCATCGTGCCCCTGGGCGTTTCCAGAAAGTAAGGACAGAGCCGGGGCTGGACCGGCCACAAGAAGCAGGGGAAGCCAGGGGGAAAGAGAAGTTGGAACCCTGCCCCTCACCTCAGTCTCCCTGAGTTGGGAATGCCTTCGGGTCTCACTTGAAGCTGTCAGCCAGCCAACCTGGAATGAGAGCCAGACAGGTGCAGTGCCGGCCGCCCTCTCTCCGTGTCCGCTCTGAGTGGTGGCCCGCTGTAGGGCTGCCCACGTGGTCTCCGCTGCCCGGGGATGCTTGGGACCTTCCCACACAGCCTGGAAGCTGCAGTCACAGCCCGCCCGCCCCGAGCCGTGATGGCGAAGAACTTTGGGGAGGAAAGGGGAGCAGCGGAGTATTGGGGTGGGGGGGGAGGCGGGCTGTGTGGTGAGTGGGGTGAGGGAGCAGATGTCCCACGGCGGAGGCCTGGGGGTGGCGGGCAGGGACCCAGCCCATCAATGACTGGGTTTCACAGCATCAGCATTCCCAACATGCCGCGGGAATTCCTGCCGCCCTCTCCCACCCCACAGAGAGCCCCTGGTGTCCCCACCCTCAACAGAGGCCAGGGCCCGGGACAAAAGAGCCCTGTTCCCTCAGGGTGAGGGTGCCTCAGCCTGGGGGGCTTCTCGGGGTAGGTGGGATGAAAGAAGAGTCGGGCGCTCCTGGCTGGGCCTGGAGCGGGGCCAGGAAGGAGCCCAGGGTTGGGAGCTCCTGAGTCCCTGGCACCCGGCTGCTCTGTGGGTCGCGTCAGGGTCGAAGCCAGGGTTTCAAGTGGCTGCCTTCCCTGGCCTTGGCCGCCCTCTTCCCACGGACACGGGCGAATGCAGTCAGACACATGCAAATGCCGGTCTGAAATGTGACAGATCTAGACCCAACCAGAAGGAACAGGCTCACACAATAGTGATGCAGGCGCACACCTGGGCAGGGCAGCAAGCCCCCTGCACCTGCAGATACCCTCCACACACACACACACACACACACACACACACACACACACGGTCACAGAAGCGTCCCTGCACTGCCCTGCCTCCCGCCCACCACCCCCCAGGGCTGACACGGGCATGCAGGCACACACATGGACCCGCCTGCAGGCCATGCGCACAAAGACACACGGACCTGCGTACACACACTGGGAGGCAGCCAAGAACGGACCCACCCAGACACAGGCTGATGGACACACTGCAACAAGAAGATACGGGACACAGGCGAGGGCCGGTTACAGGGCCCTGGCAGACTTGTGACACAAGCAGGTAGACCACCCGTTCGTAATGGGGGCTGAGATGGGTTCTTAGGGTGGGGGCCAGGAAAGTCTTAGCTGTTACGGTGAGCTGTGACTCTCTAAAGGGCCACAGTACATAAACGTATGTACTGTACGTCTATGGTCGTAAAATTTCATGGTGGGAATGGGATTAGGAAAAATAGCTCTAAAATTATTCCTTAGCGGGGTATAATGAAAACAAGGTTGGGGCGCCTGGGTGGCTCAGTCGGTTAAGCGTCTGCCTTCGGCTCAGGTCATGATCCCAGGGTTCTGGGATCGAGCCCCACGTCGGGCTCCCTGCTCAGTGGAGAGTCTGCTTCTCCCTCTCCCTCTGCCTGCCTCTCTGCCTACTTGTGCTCTCTCTCTGTCTCTCTGTCAAATAAATAAATAAAATCTTTTTAAAAAAAAAAGAAAACAAGGTTGAGGAGCACTGATGTAGATTAAGACTCACCCAGGGGAGGTGTGTGCGTGCACATGCACGCGAACACACACACACCTGTCATGCACCCGGGTGCTGACACTGTCTCACACATAGCTCACTGCCCCCACCCCCTCACAGATGGCAGGATGCAGGTGGATGATCACCTGCCCATCCCTCTGCTCTTCATCCAGCCCCCCTCACCCCCAACCCTGCCATCTGGCCCAAACTTAGAAGCCCCAGGGCAGCTGTTACTGCAGACTTTCCACCACAGGGATGCTGAGAAGAGCCCTGCGTTCTTCCTCTCTGTGGTTCCTTCCCTAAGCCCGGTCACTGTCCCTGCCACGGTCCCAGCCCGTTCCCCAAGCCGTCCTGAGCAGCACCCTGCCCCATCCTAAACTAGGGGCAGTTCCCAGTGACCATCCATGGCCCAGAGCACCTTGTCTTGCACATGCTTCTGGGCATCCTTTGCTGCACCCTCTCAGCCCCAGTCCTCGACTCTCCGCCTCATGGCTGGCCCCTCTTGGCTGCAGTACTCACTTGGATGCTCTTGCTTCTGCACCCTCTGCTCCACCGGCCCCGCTTACAGTCCCCTGGCCTCCCAGGGTCCAGGCCCCACTTGCCAGCCCGTCCCCTCCCCCTGGGTGCCAGGGGCCGCCTGCCTCCAGGGCCCAGCTCCTCCCTGCCCCCGAGGGAGGGGGGCACAAAGGGGCCCTTGTCACCACTGTTGGAACTGGGCAGCCTGACGCCTGGGTTCTACTAGCTCCTTCCTGGAGGGGATAGGGGGAGGCAGCCTCACTTGCTCTCCCCTCCTCCATCACTGTGCACCCTGGTTCTGGGTCCCTGGGAGGGTCTTCTAATGTCTCTGGAAGTCTCAGGCTAAGAAACAGAAAGTGTTGTTCTCATTGTCTAGGGAAATTTGGTGGCCAGGACAGGTATAACCTCGGTCCCAAGAGGCCACAGAGGGGGTGAGCAGGAGACGGGACCTGCCCACTCTTGGCTTCAGCGTCACCTCCACCCTCTCTTGAATCACTTCCCTGGGTCACGTTTGGTGCCCACATCCTGGTCTATTTTCCAGACTCGTCTTGCTGTCAAAAATGACCTTATGCATTGATTGTCTCCTCTCATAAGAACATGATCTCCAGGAAGATAAGGGCTTCGCCCGCTGATTTCTAATCTATCCTGTTTGTAGAATGGCTCCTGGCACAGAGTTAAGCTTCATAACCACAGAGTTGGTGCACACATTGTTCCTCAAATACGCAGCGGCACCTTCTGACCGGACACCTTTGCACTCGTTCCTTCCTCCTGGACAGGCCTCCCCACCCCATCCCGCAGCACTGGTTACCCAGTGCCATGGGCCACAGCCTGCACATCCTGTAGGCTTCCAGCCTGGATGCCACTTCCTCTGGAAGCCTGCCCTGCCCCTCTCACCACGCCAAGCCCCTCCATTCAAATGCTGCCCCGTCCTTCCATGGCCCTCAGCGCGTTTGCCGACTGCACTCCGGGGGGGCCTCCTTCCCCACCAGCACGGGAGCTCCCAGAGGGCAGGGTTTCTGACTGTCTGTCCGCTTCGCCCTCTGTCCCCTAGAACAGTGCCTGGTGCACAGTGGGGCTTATCTAGCGCCATGCTTACTCTTTGAGCTAGGTGAGGACCCACTGTGTGCAGATTCCACACTCCACAGTGACCCTCCTCCCAGCCCAACCCCGCCCATTGATCATGACCTTTGCATGGTGCTTGTGTGGGGGGGGGCGGTGGAGGGAGCTGATGGTACTGTGACCAAGTGTAGTAATGGTTTGACCATGAGCTGCTCAGTCACACTGGAGCATCTTCTATCCTCCTTTAGGCCGGAGCAGTTTTCGGGGAGTGGGGGTGGGGAGGTCCTTTCTCCCAAGGGAGAACCCAGCCGGGGTGGGGAGGGTGAGGGGCAGGGAAATCCCTCAGACCCAGGCGTGTGGAGTCAGAGAAGGCTGATGGAGGGGGAGGGGGAGTCCCACCCCCACCTCAGGCTTCATGATGTCAGACTCTGCCCGTGCCTTTCCCAGACAGGGACAAAAGCCCATTGAGAGCGGGGTGGGGCTTGAGCGCCTGGGTCCTAGAGAAGAGAGGGCCCTGGTGCCTGGGCTTTGGAGGACGATGCTGAGATCCTGGGGTACTCCTGCGTCACAGCCTTCAACCTCAACGCCAACCCCCTTGGGGTCATGTGCCTGCGCAGTTTGGGGGTCCACCCCCTCTCTAGGTGTGAACTGAAGGCTGTCCTGGGGGGCAGGACGCACAGGCCAGTGTGTCCACAGAGGGCACTGGCAACCATCGCTGAAATCTGCAATCCCGGGTCCCCAGGCCACAGGAGGATAGGGCACTGCAGGGCCTGTGCCTGTCCAAACGGGGAGCCACCACTCGGATCCAGCCAAGCCTTCGAAACCAGGCAGGTGTGATAGGGCTGCTCTGATAGAGCATCACAGACTGGGTGGCTTAAAAAACAGAATTTATTGTCTCACGGTGCTGGAGGCCACAGTCTGACGTCAAGGGGTTGGCAGGGTTGGTCCTTTTGAGCGCCGGGGGGGGGGAAGGATCTGTTCTAGGCTTCTCTTCTTGGCTTCTAGATGACGGTCTTCATGTTCACATGGCCTTCTCCCTGCATACAGGCTTCTGTGTCCAAATCCCCACTTTTTATAAGGACACCAGCCCTCTTGGATTAGGGTCCAACCTACTGACCTCATTTTAACTTGACTATCTCTATGAAGACCCTATTTCCAAATCAGGTCACAACCTGAGGTTCTGGGAGTTAAGACCTCAACATTTAAATTTGGGAGGGTGGGGGGACACACAGTTCAGCTCATAACTCATAAGCAGCTATACTCTGTGGGGTTGCCGAGCAGAGAGAGGATGACGGCAAGGTCCCACAGCTCATGGGAGCCCAAGCTGTCCACCTGTCTTCCCCTCCCCATCCTTCAGCCTCCATTCAGGGAAACCTCTCCCAGAGGATGAGCCTCTCATGGCTTCCAAGACAGAAGGTAGAAGGTGGTGGTGTACAGGACTGATCTGGCTCCCAGCTGAATTCACTTTGGCTACCAGAGTGTTGATTTAAAAAACAAAATCCCTGTAATCAGTTGCCAATATCTTAAAAACCAGGAAATCTCACATCAAAATAAGCATGGCCGCCTTCTCTTGAAAAGAAGCTCTAGCCATGTTTGGCCTGCCTTTGGGCGTGACAAGCCATCTCCCGGTCCCCCTAACGATCTAACCCAGGCCTCCCATCCATATGCAACATTGAGGCCAAATAGCCAAGGCCATTTATCACCATGCTAGTGCTGACGTTTTCTTATGGGCTAAGAAGATGGTGC